TCACATCTATTTCCTCAGCTCTGATTCAAGCCCTTTGGTCTCTTGCCTCCCACTTCATCAACACTACTCTTGGCAAGCCCACAAATGAACTCCCCAACGATCAGTTCTTAATCCATCTACATGCAATACTGGACATAGTCCTTTTCTTTTTTTTTTTTTTTTTTTTGTGAAACACTTTCTCCTCCTGGCATCTATCACTCTCGATTCTCCTCCTACCTCACTGTCTGCCTCTTCATCATCTTCTTTACTGGCTTCTCCCTATTTTCCTGACCTCTACATGCTGTAGTTCCCCAGGGATCAGTCCATAAATCTCTCACCTTCTTCTACAGCTCTAAGTTCATGGGATGTACAGGTTTCAAATTCCATGGATCCATTAATGACTCTCAAATGTCAGCTATGACTTCCCCCCCAGAGCCCCAAGCATACAGATGCAACCACTTAGTGAACATTTCCACTTGGATATCCAAGGAGCATTACAAACATAACGTGTTTAAATCTGCTCTAGCTAAAAACCTGAGGATCATCCTTAACTTCTCTTTTTCTCATACCACGCATCAAGCCATTAGCAAATCTGGTCAGTTCTGCCTTTAAAGATAGTACAGTCCTATGCAAGAAGACCACTTTGGAGGTTATGGCACACACTACCCACAGGGATAATTTTAATATATGTCATTTCAAGTCACTCTTGGCTGAGACCCTCTAGTGGTATCCCTTCTCAGAGGACAACCCAAAGGTCTTCTCATGGCCTTCAGGGTCCTACTTGGTCTGCCCTCACCCAAATTCTCTGACCTCATCTCCTAGCACTCTGCCTTGCACATTCCACTCCACCCTCAGCACACCCTGCTGTTCCTCTAGTACACTCGCCAACTGTGACCTGCACCTGGGCCTTTGCACCAGGCTCTTCCCTCTGCCCTAAATGTTCTTTTCTCGGAGTTACCTGCACCATTAGCTCTCTTCCTCTCTTGCAGTTTCTGCTCAAAGGCAACTTGTTAGAAAAGACTTCCTTGTCTATAGTAAATAAAATAGAATCTCCTTCACTTTCTATCAACTTTTCCCATGCTTTAGTTCTTCATCCTATATACTTACTTATTATGTTTGTTGTCAGCCTCTCTGCATTGGAATGTCAGCTCCATAAGGACAAGGACTACCTTTTGTTCACTCCGATGAACAGTGCCTGGCATATAGTAGGTACTCAATAAACAGCTGTTAAATGATTGAATGAATGGATACATATATCAATGGAACAGAATAGAGAGCCCAGAAATTCTTATATGGTCAATTAATCTATGAAAAAGGAAGCAATAATATACAAATGGGAAAAGACAGTCTCTTTAATAAATGATGGTAGGGGGACGCCTGGGTGGCTCAGTGGTTGAGCGTCTGCCTTTGGCTCAGGGTGTGATCCTAGAGTCCTGGGATTGAGTTCTGCATTGGGCTCCCTGAGGGAAGCCTGCTTCTCCCTCTGCCTGTGTCTCTACTTCTTTCTGTGTCTCTCATGAATAAATAAATAAAATCTTTAAAAAAATAATAATAAATGATGCTAGGAAAAATGAACAGGTACATGAAAAAAATGAACCTGGACCACTTTCTAACACCACAAAACAAAAACAAACTCAAAATGGATTGAAAACCTAAATGTGAGACCTAAAAGCATAAAAATTCTAGAAAAGAGCACAGGCAATAATTTCTCTGACATCGGTCATGGCAATGTTTTTTTAGACATGTCTCTTAAGGCAGGGGAAACAAAAGCAAAAATAAACTATTGGGACTACAGCAAAATAAAAAGCTTTTGTGCAGCAAAGGAAACCATCAATAAAACAAAAAGGCAACCTACTGAATGGGAGAAGGTATTTGGAACTGATAAATCCAATAAGGGATGAATATCCAAAATATATAAAGAACTTAACACAATTCAACACCATAAAAACAATCTGATTAAAAAATAGGCAGAGGACCTGAACAGACATTTTTCCAAAGACATACAGATGGCCAAAAGACACATGAAAAAGATGCTTAATATCACTAATCATCAGGGAAATACAAATCAACATTACAATGAGATACCACCTTACACATGTCAGAATGGCTACACTCAGAAGGAAATAACAAGTGCTGGCAAAAATGTGAAGAAAAAGGAATCCTCCTACACTTTCGTGGTAATGTAAATTGGGACAGTCACTGTGGAAAACAGTATGGAGGTCTCTCAAATTCCACTATGGGGAATTTGCCCAAAGAAAACAAAAATACTAATTTGAAAAGATATGCATCCCTGTGTTTATTGCAGCATTGTTTACAATAGCTAAGATATGGAAGCAACCTGCATCCATTGATAAATAAATATACACACATACACACACAATGGAGTATTACTCAGCCATAAAAAAAGGATGAGACCTTGATGGTAAGATATTGAAGAAGCAAGCCAATGACAGAATTCTGGACACACTGGCATTAAATGACTCTGTGATGAGACTGGAAAGGAATGGGCAGAGGTCAGAGCAATGGGTATCCATGGTATCAGGAGCCAGAGGAAGAAAGAATTGCAAGAAGGAGAGAAAGGGCAGAGTCAACAGCTGAGAGAGGCCAAGTAAGATAACACCTGAAAATCACTCATTGGACTGATTCTAGAAATGTATGGCTGACCTCATGGCAGCAGTGTCAGTGGTGTGTAGGGGGCAGAAGCCAGACTGTGATGGACCGAGAAAAGAATAGGAAGTAAAACAGTGGAGGTAGTCAATGCAGATGAACTTTTAACTTTCTTTTTTTTTTTGGAACTTCTAACTTTCTAAGAAGCAATGGGAAGTGCTGGAGCTGCGATTGGGAGGTCTGGGGGAGGAGAGCTTACAGGAGGACCTTATGATATGATAGTGTCTATTTACGTCAGATGTATGCAAAGTGGATATGGAATTATTGCAATAACCTCCTGTCTCCCTGCCCTCATCTCCCCTCTCTACACCATCTGGTGCTGAGGCCAAATTAATCTCCCTCAAGCGGAGAACCTGCCCATTCCCAAGCTCAGTAACTACCAAAAATTCCCCTGCGCCTATAGACAAAAACTCACCTCTTAGCATGTAAGGTTTTCCATGACCTGACTCCAATAAATTTTTACCTATGTTTCCTCTTCTTATCCTCAGATATCACTTTCATAATGCAGGAAGAAGCCAGCACTCCTGCTTTCAAACTACTGTGAAAATCACACCTCCATCTGTTTTCCAGAACTAGTGTCTTTCTATCACGTGATGCCAATGACACACCTCTCATTTCCTCCGAGACACCACCGGTTCTTTGAGGGCTGGATCCATGTCTGATTTATCTTTGTGTCTTTACCAGGAAGGTATTCAAATATTTGAGCAAATAAATGAATGACCAAACACCTTAGTCCAACTCTGTGCCTTGGCATTTGGAATAAATTCACACAGGAGCCTTGTGGATAGAATCAAAACTTGGCAGCCAATTGTCACGGCCAGGGGCCAGGGTGGCTGCCTTGACATAGCACCTTCTAGCTGGAAACATGACTTTACAGATTGATAGACTGGACCTGAATGAAGGTGGTGTAGGCTACATTACTGTTTCTTGATACTTTGCTTACAGGCAGAGAGGGGTTGAAAGATAAAATCACGGCACTGAAATCTTCTATTCATTTGTGCTGCTTTCACAGTTTGTTTGAATAAAATGAAGCCAGCTCAGGTTTCTAGTTTTAGCTCTGTATTCTTAGTAAATTCACCAAACCCTTGTGGGTCTCAGTTTCTCTACACTCTTCTGCCAAACTCATGAGGGTCTATTGGGTGTGAAAGGGTGGTCACCGTCTGTGAAGTGCTATTATGCACGGAAATGAGATTTCAATTTGTTCCCACAATGTGTTCATGAAAACAGCCACTGCCTTCTAAATGCTGGTTAAGCCAGTGTCCCTGAGGATCAGAAACAGCATTTTCAAGTTTTCAAGCCTAGTTTTAATCAGACATACAGAGTGTTCTTGCTTTAAAAAAAAATGAAATTAAACGTCTCAAGACAACCATTTAGTAACAAATAAAAGTGGTTGATCTCCCTTATCCAAAATACTTTCATTGCTCAGTTTTGAAGGGTGAATTTAAACTGGGATTCATTAATTTCTTGGCTTGAAGTTCTGGAAGCTATAGGGTTCTTTCATCAGTACGGTGGCAGCCAAGTCTATTTCAATCTCCTACAAGACATTTCACAGCACAATTACCCCACCTGTTAAGAGGAGTTAGTCATGTCAATTCATCTCTCAGAAGTGTTTAGGGAAACAACCAAGTTCTCTTAAAACTCAAAAGCCTACCAAAGGAAAATATCTGATATAAAAGCTAGCTTAAGGTTGATGATTTAATTAAAACACACATGTCTTTGGAGTTATCAACATTAATTATTGAGAGAAAAAAGCCTACCAAAGGATATAAGAAATGTACTCACATAAAGCCAAATGCTGACTCATTTTAGACATCCTCGAGTAAATAGTACCATTGACTGTGACACCCTAAGTGCGTGTCTAATATCTGTCAGGCATCGTGGTTGACACAAAGAAGGATAAATTTCTTACCTGTCTAGAATATGTTACCATACATGAGAAAAAATTCTGAGAACCTTCTCATTTGGTCCTCAACCCTGTGAGAAAGGCAAGGCAGGGATGATTAGCTCCTGAACAAAATGAGTTCAAAGAGATTTACTGATTTAAGTGAAGTCCCACTGCTGATTAGTAGAAGACAGTAGGTTCCCTCCCTGTCTTCAGAACTGCCCTCAGCATGCTTATACTCTAGTTGTGGAGGTAAAATACTTACATACAGGAAGAGACAATGGCCTGCACACAGCAGGTGCTCAATTGACACCTCCTGGTGGGGTGGTAATCATGTGGCGGTAATGATGGCGGTGAAGAAGACGGTGATGATGAGGGCAGTGACAATGATGATGATCATGATAGAAGCCAATGAGGCACAAATGTGCATGCTAAATGACCACCAGAGATACTGAATGCTAATGGAGCTCACCTGAGTCCTCTCCATACCAGTCAGTTGGTACATCCATCATGGAACTCACGCCTCCTCCCGCACCATCTGGTCTTCCCTCCAAACCTTGGGAAAAGTGATGGTCCCCATCATCTTTGCTCTGGACAGCACTGTTGCGCAGGAGCGCCTCCAGGAATTGTTTCACGTGGTAGTTACTGTAAGCCAAGTCGACAGCCTGGCCACCGGGCAAACCCTCATCCATGTGGGTCAGGCTGAGTGGGGCGGCATATGGCTGCAGGTGCGCACCACCCTCCACCTCCACCTCCACCTCCACCTCGTCAGCATCAAACTCCACCTTGGGCTCTATCTGTTTGGGCAGAATAGAGAGGTCACTGTCAGCAGGGCCACTGCCCTGGCTGTCCTTCACCACCAGTTCCAGCGGGTGGCAGCCTCTGCAGTCACTGCAAGGGGACACTCTTGGACAGTCCACACTCTCCTCTCCCTCGCCTGGAGAGGAGACCAAGCTCTTGGTATCGCAGGAGGTCCCTTCCCTCCCTGGACTGGGACTTCCACTGTCAACCTGATGAGCCGCCACGGCCGCTGCCGCCGCTGCTGCCGCTGCCACCGCTGCAGCCACTGCTGCCTCCTTCTCCATCTTCCGGCAGATATCAAGGGATGACCTGATGTATGTCTTGCAGAAGTTCACCACATCGTTCATCTGCAGGTAGCTGGCAGCCGACATAACTTCAATCACATTCTCCCCACACAGATCCAGCTTCCCAGAGTACAGGAAGTCTAAGATGGTGGAGAAGGCATCGGAGGTGACAATGTCCAGGGAGGCGGTGCTGTGCCGCCCACTGTCCTGGATGTAGTGAATGAGCAGGGCTCGGAAGTAGCCGCTGTTGGCAAACAAAATGTTCCTGTGGGCCTTGAAGACCCGCCCTTCCACAATGATGCTGCAGTCACAGAAAAAGTCCCGCTTTCGCTGTTCATTCAACTCCCCCAAGAGCTTGCCATAATAGGATTGCATCTCCATTTCTCCACCAGCTGCTGCTCTGGAGTAGCCTGTATCTCTGCCAAGATTTTTTTTTTAAGTTAATTCACCAATCCCAACCTTACAAATAAGATGTTCAGTTTTAATTTTTCTTTTTCATTCTTCTGAAAACACTGGTTCAATACCGTCTTTCTGATACAGGAGCTATTTGGCATCTAACAAAAATCAGAGGTTGTCCAACAGGGTTAATTTTTGAAAAACAACAAAAATAACTAGAACAAACTGCAGGTGGCATAGTACATAGTGTTTTACATGGAATCTCTCAATGAATTTTTTTTTCTCAATGAATTTTTAGAAAAACCTGATGATAAAATACCCATCTTGTCCCCATCTTTCTGATAAGGAAACTGAAACTTAAGAGAAGGTAGGACATGACCCAGCTGTAACAGAGCCGGGACTCAAAACCAGGTCAGTTATCCCCTGGAGTTCCTGCTCTTATGCCTACATTATACTTTCTTCAAGACTCAAAATATAGATAATACCCAAATCTAATACTTACAGTTCAACCCTGATATGGATCTTAGAGACTATACTCGCCTGTCTCACCTATTATCATCACTTCATGGAAACATGGTGGGTTCTTGGGCTAGCCAGCATACAGTCATCATTCTTATGGTTTTAATGCCCTTTCTGGTTTTGCTAGAACCACCCTTCCCCCATTCTTGGCCAATGTGTCTTGCCTCAGTGGGCATCATCCCCAGGCTCTAGATATAATAGATACCAACATGATCAAGGTATCCCACATTCTGAGCTCAGTGATTAGCTCAGAGATGGCTATGTGGGTTGGCCAGAGCAATTAAGAGCAATAAATGTTTACTGGGGATTCCAAAAAGACCACTGTCTACTCTGTGGGTATGTGGGATGTCAGAGATGCTGCCTCACCACCAGGGGAACCAGCCCAGCAAAGATGACAGTCCAGCTCAGGCAGGAGCAACAGATGGAGCCCGGGGACACCATCTGAGCCTCAACCCATGCTGTGCCAGAAGCCAATTAAGTCTCTTTTTTGCCTTAGCAGGTCTGAATTGGGTTTTCTATCTCTTGCAAATGAGAGGCTCCCAACTGACTGACGCCACTATCCTTGGTTCACTCCCCTGAATTTTATGTCCTGGCCCTTGTCTGTCAGTGGACTACAACCCTTTGAAGACATGAGCCACATCTTCTTTCTTTCTTAAAAAAAAAAAAAAAGATTTTATTTATTCATGAGAGACACAGAGAGAAAGAGGCACAGACACAAGCAGAGGGAGAGGCAGGCTCCACGCAGGGAGCCCGACATGGGACTCGATCGCAGGACTCCAGGATCACACCCTGGGCTGAAGGCGGCGCTAAACTGCTGAGCCACCTGGGCTGCCCCACATCTTTCATTTGCTATCCCCCATAGCATCTGGCAGAGTACTTTGGACAAAGTAGGTTTGCTAAATACAAAGGAATACTCCTTTCTTAATTGCTAAATAGAACATGTATAAATCAAGTTTAAAGTCCTTTCGCTGGTGAGAAAGACAGATGTTGACCTTCTTCCCTGAGATCCCTCCTCCATCTTTTCCCATCACACAAACCACAGAGCCATCCTGTTACAGCACTGCGGCTGGTCTTAAGGGTTAACTTACTTCAAGTTAACATAACTCCGTGCTTACTGACCTAAAGCACTGGACCTAACTAGTAACAGAACTAATTTGCTTTCTTTGAGATTTGCAGAACTCTGGCCTTAGAAAATGAAGAACCAGGTATCCCTGGGTGGTGCAGCGGTTTGGCGCCTGCCTTTGGCCCAGGGCGCGATCCTAGAGACCCGGGATCGAATCCCACATCGGGCTCCCAGTGCATGGAGCCTGCTTCTCCCTCTGCCTGTGTCTCTGCCTCTGCCTCTCTCTCTCTCTCTCTCTCTCTCTCTCTCTCTGTGTGTGACTATCATAAATAAATTAAAAATTAAAAAAAAAAAAAAGAAAATGAAGAACCAGAACTTTCCCAGTCCACAGAGACCAGCATGTCTGTTTGAAGCTGCCTTGGCTTTCTGATTAGCCCAGCAATTTTTTAACAAAATTTTTTTCTTTTTTAAGGTCACATAAATGGTCACTCTACTGACCTCCCTTTGTGCATCTGTAAACCTTGCCCTCCTTTGGAGAAAGATCAGAATACTCATGCACAACCCTAGGCTACCATCGAACCAGACCTTCTTGCACAACCTCTGTGCACTGAGGCAATTCTGTAGCATCACTGAATTGCACATAATCAAAGACCACTGTACTACCATAACTGATTAAACTCCTTTATTTTTTTTTAAGAGTTTATTTATTTGACAGAGAGACCGTGAACAAGCGCAAGTGCACAAGCAGGGGGAGCGGCAGAGGGAGAGGGAGAAGCAGTCTTCTGCTGAGCACAGAGCCCTGTCAAAAAATCTCTGTACCAGGCAGAAACCTCAGAGTTGGCTCTTGTACAAGAGTCCACCTTCTCCCCAGGTAGCCAGGCTCCTCCCTTAAGTATTGGGTTTTTAAGTAACAAGCAGCCAAAATTGGGTTTCAGTTACCCCTTTTCCATACTGAGCCATTGAGTACAGAAAAGTTTCTACAACCAAGTACATCATCACCCCCTACTTGTAATCACAAAAGGCCTAATCAGAGCTGCCAAGCACAACTCCTTAGCACTCCTCCATTCTACAAATGCAACACAATACCTCACCCACCCAGAAATCAGGCACTCCTCCCCACAAAAGGGTCGTCCACTGGCAAAATAGATTCCCCAAGGTCTATGCACTAACTACACAGACTATACTAATTAAAGACCCTCAACAACCTTATTAAGTGGCAGTTCACACCTACTTTCTATATATTTATAGCAAGTAATGCATTAAGTTTGGAAACTAGACGACTGGGGCACCTGAGTGGCTCAGTGGTTGAAGTCTGCCTTTGGCTCAGGGCATGACCCTGGGATCCTGGGATCAGAGTCCTTCATCAGGCTCCCCTCAGGGAGCCGCTTCTCCCTCTGCCTATTTTTCTGCCTCTCTCGCAGTGTCTCTCATGAATAAATAAATAAAATATTTTTAAAAAGAAAGAGGGCAGCCCGGGTGGCACAGCGGTTTAGCGCCGCCTGCAGCCCGGGGCGTGATCCTGGAGACCCTGGATGGAGTCCCACATCAGGCTCTCTGTATGATGCCTGCTTCTCCCTCTGCCTGTGTCTCTGCCTCTCTCTCTCTCTCTCTCTGTCTCTATGAATAAATAAATAAAATCTTAAAAATAAAAAAAATGAAAGAAAGAAACCAGACAATCAATTAGGGAGAGAAGTTGAGGAGCTTCTATAAGCAAGTAAACTGACAAAAGTGAGAACTGACAGCTAGGAAAAGGTAGAAAAGTTACTTTAAAAATAGACTCGGGAATTTTTTTCAAAATATTAGCCTGAGGCCATGTAGCTAAGTATTAAATGCTCCTACATATTCAAAATGGTCTAAGGACAGCACTAAATTATAGCCTCGGGCTATAATTGATGGGCCTATGTCACCAAGATGATTCTTATCCATTTATATTCGTTTTAAAGTCAAGGAAGTTATGTCATAATTTCTGGAATTTTTTTATCCGAAGTGGATAAAATTAACTTTTGGTTTAGAAAGGAAGAAAACTATCAGATATCTGCACAATTCTACTATTCCCCTCAAAAAAATTAACCCTGAAAGTTGTCACAGGACTAAGGTTTCACTGTCATTTCCATTTCTTCTGACTGCTCTAACCAAGCCTTCCCATTAGTTCCTGCCATTGCCTTTGGCTATCAAAATATGAAGGGGAAAACAAGATCTAGGAAAATGCAATATTTCAATACCACACTCTACTCTTCTTCAGAACTGGGTAGCTCAGTATGTTAAGTGTATGCCTTTGGCTGAGGTCATGATCCCAGGGTCTTGGGCTCAGGCTCCCTGCTCAGCAGGGAGTCTGCTTCTCCTTCTCCCTCTGCTCATTCCCAACCCATTCCTGTTCTCTCTCTCTCTCAGATTAAAAAAAAAAAAAATCTTAAAAAAAAAGAACTGAAAGAAAACCATATTTTTCAGTGTGCTAATATCCACTGTTGACATGGATGTAATCTGGAACACCATTTCAGAGAGGAATTTGGCAATATTTATTAAAATTTAAAATGCACACATCATTTGGGTTGCCTGGGTGGTTCAGTCGGTTAAGCATCCGACTCTTGATTTTGGTTCAGGTCATAATCTCAGGGTCATGAGACCAAACACCAAGTCAAGCCCCTAGATGGCTCAGGAGTGGAGTCTGCTTCAGATTCTCTCTCTTTCCTTCTCCCTCTGTCCCTGCCCCCCTCTGTTCATATGCATGCTCTTGCTCTTTCTCAAAAAAAATTTTTTTAAAGATTTTATTTATTTATTCATGAGAGACACACACACACACACAGAGAGAGAGAGAGAGAGAGAGAGAGAGAGAGAGGCAAAGACACAGGTAGAGGGAGAAGCAGGCTCCATGCAGGGAGCCCGACGTGGGACTCAGCCGGTCTCCAGGATCACACCCAGGGCTGAAGGTGGCGCTAAACTGGTGGGCCACCGGAGCTGCCCAGAAATTTTTTTAAATTAAATATAAAATGTAAATTTTTTTAAATGCACACTTCTTTTGCCCCAGAAATTTCAATGTAAAAATTTAGTCTTTTGGCTGTTGCCAAAAAACATCAAATTACAAGTTCAGAGATCTCCATTCACCAGATTTTTGTACTAGTGCAAAAGTAAAAATAATCTAAATGTCCACCAATAGGGGACAAGTTAAATCAATGAGGAACAATCACACAGGGGAATACTATGCAATCCTGTTTTTAATGAGCTAGAGCTGTGTGTGTTCATTATGGAAAGGTCACCGAGATACATTGAGAAAAAAGCAAGATGCAAAACAAAATGTACTATGGTACCATCCACATATGCATGATTTTTCCCCAGCAAGGTTATACAAGCAAGAGTTAATAGCAGATATCCTTGAGAAGAGGGATTAAGGGTAAGAGGTGTGTGGAGGGACCTTCACTTTTCATTTTCAACCTTTCTGTGCTGTCAGAGTGTTTTACTATGTCTATGTTCTGCTTTCATTTTTTCTTTTTAAACAAAGGGAGGAAAGGAGGAGGGACAGAGGGATAAGGAGTTGGCTGAGAGAAATAAACTAGGGTAGATACAGTACTTAGTCTGAAGAATAGTTTTATCTACAGGGCCTTCTCCCAGGCCACTTCCATCTTTCACTGGAAGATGCTCCTTTCCAGCAATAGTACCCAAAACCCATCTCCTTTGGCTTTCTCTCTGCAAATAATCTAGATTCCATTGGGTCATATAAATACTGCCTAACCTTGCAAAAGTCTGTCCCCAACCCTATACTTGACATATACTGTGGAAATCGTTACTCATATCACTTGCCTTTAGTGTCTTGCATCCCTGGGACATGCTGAGGATCACTACTTCTCCTTGGAAAGAAACTCTTTGGGTATACTGCTCTCAGAAGTACAATTATCCACACTCTGGCAGGGACTTCCCCCGCCCTCCCAGCCCTCTTACTGTTCCAATTCAATTCAACAGTTACTGGCTATATACAATGCCTGACACAAGGAAGATGCCAGGAATAGAAAAAAAACGAACCCAGGAGAGAGCAGGTGCCAACGCTACCCCCTGCAACACACTCCCACATTCCCCAGGGAAACCTACCCAGATCACATGACTGTGTTCATTTAGGCACCAAAACCAGGCTTGAATTCCACCCCCTGACTCTGACTTGACTCCTTCAGTCTCATCAACCTAAGAATAATGAAAACTGCTCATCAAAGAAAAGGGGGGGGGGCGGGTAGGAGGGAGGGGGTCGCCTGGATGGCTCAGTTGGTTAAACGTTGGACTCTTGGTTTTGGATTCAGGTCATAATTTCAGGGTCATGAGATCAATGGAGCCCTTGGTCCGGCTCCTGGCTCTGCTCAGTGGAATCAGCTTGAGACTCTTCCTCCCTCCTACCTCCTCCCCACCTCTCGATGGATCGCTCTCTCCCTCTCCCTCCCGCCCCTCCCTCTCTAAAATAAATAAATAGGGATGCCTGGGTGGCACAGCTGTTGAGCTTCTGTCTTTTCTGTCTTCCTCTTAGGGCTTGGGGTGTGATCCCAGAGTGCCGGATTGAGTCCCACATTGGGCTCCTTGCGTGTAGCCTACGTCTCCCTCTGCCTGTGTCTCTGCCTCTCTCTCTCTCTCTGTCATGAATAAATAAATAAAATCTTAAAATAAAATAAAAAACATTTAAAAAAAGAAAAAGAAACCTGTTCATCAATTGCTAGCATTTACTAAAAACCACTTCTCATGAAGCACTGTAGAAAGTACTTTATAAGCATTAAGTTTTACCTTACAATAACCCAATGCAGTAGATATCGTCGTTATACCCTCTTTTTCAGGAGAGGAAACTGAGGCTCACATTTATAGCTAATACACCCAAGCGAGCATCGGAACCAAAATTGGGTTGATTCCAGAACTGACACGCTAACTACAATGCCAACCTGACTCCCCAAAGGGTTGGGGAAGTCACTCCTCTCCCAACGCACGGAGTGGAGGGGAACGCCACAGCAAAAGAGTTTCCATTTCCACCGAAAAAATGTCGGGGTCAACTGCATCTTCAGTTCACCTGCTAAACTGCTCTCAAGACAAGGGGGTTCCCTCCGCCCCCTCCAGAGCCAGACCACCCTGCGGAGATCACGGGAACCAGTTGCTGGACTGGTCTTCGGCTCCTGAGGGTGGGGAACAGGGACCTGCCCCTCCCGTGGCCTCCTGCAAACAGAGTGACCACCGCTGCGGCGAGCGCTGCCCCAGCCTGGCGGAGCCCTAGCTCCCCGCCCCGGCACCGTCGCAATAGGCGGGCGCGCAGACCACCCAGCTGGACGACGCGCGGAGACAGCCCGATGCCAGGAAGGGGAGGCAGTTGCCGCCGCGCCGCGCCACCCTGCTCCACGCTGGAGCCCAGGGAGGGTCGGTCATGCAGCTCAGGTTCGCGCGGCGGGGGGCTCAGGAGTAGCCCAGGCCGGGCGGTCCGAGGGAGGCCGACCGAGAGGGGAGTTCCCTGCCCGCTCCCCTCACCCAAGGGCGACCTCCTGGGGCGCCCCGAATCTTCCCCCAAACCCATGAAAGCTGCAGCACGAATCCGCTTCACGGGTCTCACCTTCCAGCTGGATCCAGCCGCGCGGCCACCGAGCTCCGCGCACCTACACGCCCCCCCTTCATTCACCTGTCGCCCCCTCCGTGAGAGGCGAGGCAGCTGACCAATCACAGGGGCTCCTGGGCCTGGAAGGCGGGCCCTTCGGCCAGCAGGTTCGTCAACGGCGCCCGCGCCGCCTCCGAGGCTGCGCTCCGACCGCGCCGGGGCCCGCGCGGTGACGGGAGTTGTGGTCTCCGCGTTCCTTTCTCCGCCAAAGAGAGAGTGGACGAAACTACAAGTACCGAGATACCAAGAACCGCCGCTTACAGAAGGCCGGAGCTCCGTCGGGTCTTCTGAGTCCCACTTGAGGGACCTGCCAAGTGTTGATGCCTTTGTCCCGAGAGCTGGGAGCACGTTGTGCGCAGGAGGGCCGCCGGAGAGCAGGAGCTCTGACCTGTCAGTCCGCACGCATTTTACTTGCCCGCGCTCCGCGGAAATTCTGAAAATTAAGTGAAATGCTTTCACCCACTCAACAGGTTTTTACTGAACACCGCAACTCTCTCTTCCCTTGAAAAGCTTTCAGTTCCACGTATACAAGTGAAAACAGGCAGCGGTGCCCTTGGTACTCAGTAACAACACTGGCATGTTGTGGGACAGCTGTGAACGAGACAGACCAGCTTGGAGCTCGGCTCTCTTAGGGGACGCATCAGTTTGCTGGGGCTGCTGTATCCAATACTACAAACTGGCTTGAGCAGCAGGAATTCGTTGTCTCGCAGTTCTGGAGATTAGAAAGACGAAGTGTGGGCAGGGTTGGTTTCTTCTGAGGGCTTTGAAGGGAGGATCTGCCCCAAGCCTCTCTCCTGGGCTTGTAGATGGCCCTCTTCGTGTCCACCCGGCGTCCTCCCTATATATCTGTGTGGATATTTACCTTTATATAAAGTCCCCGGTCGGGGGCGCCTGGGTGGCTCAGTGGTTGAGCGTCTGCCTTTGGCTCAGGTGAAGGGACATTCCAGGGTCCTGGAATGGAGTCCTGCATCAGACTCTGTGCAGGGAGCATGTTTCTCCCTCTGCCTATGTCTCTGCCTCTCTCTATGTGTCTTTCGTGAATAAATAAATGAATAATCTTTTAAAATAAAAGAATAAATAAAATACCCAGTCCTATTGGATTAGGGGTTCATTCTACTCTAGTACAACCTAGTCTTAACTAATTATTACATTTGCAACAATTCTATTTTCCAAATAAGATCACATTCTGAGGTGCTGGGGGTTAGAACTACAATGTAGAAATGTTGGGGCGGTGGTTCAACCCATAACATAACCCATAACAACCCATAACATCATCAAGATAAGAAGCTTTTGCACAGCAAAGGATACAGTCAACAAAACTCAAAGACAACCTACAGAATGGGAGAAGATATTTGCAAATAACATATCAGATAAAGGGCTAGTTTCCAAAATCTATAAAGAACTTCTTAAACTCAACACCAAAGAAACAAACAATCCAATCATGAAATGGGCAAAAGACATGAAGAGAAATCTCACAGAGGAAGACACAGACATGGCCAACATGCACATGAGAAAATGCTCTGCATCACTTGCCATCAGGGAAATACAAATCAAAACCACAATGAGATACCACCTCACACCAGTGAGAATGGGGAAAATTAATAAGGCAGGAAACAACAAATGTTGGAGAGGATGCGGAGAAAAGGGAACACTCTTACACTGTTGGTGGGAATGTGAACTGGTGCAGCCACTCTGGAAAACTGTGTGGAGGTTCCTCAAAGAATTAAAAATAGACCTGCCCTACGACCCAGCAATTGCACTGTTAGGGATTTACCCCGAAGATTCAGATGCAATGAAACGCCGGGGCACCTGCACCCCGATGTTTCTAGCAGCCATGTCCACAATAGCCAAACTGTGGAAGGAGCCTCGGTGCCCATCGAAAGATGAATGGATAAAGAAGATGTGGTTTATGTATACAATGGAATATTACTCAGCCATTAGAAACGACAAATACCCACCATTTGCTTCAACGTGGATGGAACTGGAGGGTATTATGCTGAGTGAAGTAAGTCAATCGGAGAAGGACAAACAGTGTATGTTCTCACTCATTTGGGGAATATGAATAATAGTGAAGGGGAATATAAGGGAAGGGAGAAGAAATGTGTGGGAGATATCAGAAAGGGACACAGAACATAAAGACTTCTAACTCTGGGAAATGAACTAGGAGTGGTGGAAGGGGAGGAGGGCGGGGGGTGGGGGTGAATGGGTGACGGGCACGGAGGGGGACACTTGACGGGATGAGCACTGGGTGTTACTCTGTATGTTGGTAAATTGAACACCAATAAAAATTAATTTATAAAAAAAAACCCATAACAATTGGGAGATGGCCAATAAACAAGTAAACAACTAGAGAAAGGAAATATACGAAGTGCATGGCAAAGAATTAAAACAAGTTGGTGATCCAAAAAGTGATTCGGTAGCTATGTTGGATGGAGGCTCAAGGATGGCCTTTCAGTTGGTGACCTTTTAGCAAAGACCCTAATGAAGAGTGAGCCATGCTAAGGCTAAACAGAAAAGCATTCCAGGCAGGAGAAGAGCTAGTAGGGAGGCTCTAAAAACAGATTGGTATATACCTAAGAAACAGGAGGATGGACACTGGGGTGAGGGGCTGGGTGATAGGCAGACCAGCTTAATGAGTGTGTCACCTGTGCAGTCCCACAGAGCTCTGCACTCAGAAAAGCTCCATTCTTTTTTTTTAAGATTATTTATTTATTTATTCATGAGAGAGAGAGAGGTAGAGACATAGGTAGAGGGAGAAGCAGGCTTCCCATGGGGAGCCAGATGTGGAACTCGATACCAGGACCCTGGGATCATAACCACAGCCAAAGGCAGATGCTCAACCGCTAAGCCACCCAGGTGCCCCTTACCTTAATTATTTTTTAAAGTATGGAGAAAAAGCAATCACAGAGAGTATTAGTTAATTTAGCAAGTCAGCTAAGTGTAGGTCAATTAAGAGAAAGTTTTAGGGATCCCTGGGTGGTGCAGCGGTTTGGCGCCTGCCTTTGGCCCAGGGCATGATCCTGGCGACCCGGGATCGAGTCCCACGTCGGGCTCCCGATGCATGGAGCCTGCTTCTCCCTCTGCCTGTGTCTCTGCCTCTCTCTCTCTCACTGTGACTGTCATAAATAATAAAATTTTAAAAAAAGAGAAAATTTTAAAATAAATTTAATCCAGATTATGAGAGATTAATTTTTTTTAGCAAAAGTGTAGAATGTTATCTACTGAGCTCCGAGGACGTATTCTCTCCTCCCTTACCTTAAGAATTTGATCCTTCCTTAATTGATAAGATTGAACCCTCATGGCTAAAGAAAACTTAAGTCCTTTCTTGACCCTTGGCCAGAACCCAAGTCCAAACATAACATGTCTTGGAGAATGAAAAGCAGACAAAAACTAGGGAAAAGGAATTCTGCCCCCTAAAAAACAATTAGAGGAATCTGCTATTTTATTTCATGAAAAAACAGATGGTTATTTATGGAAGTGAATTTGGAGGGCACTTACTAAGGAAAACCCAAATATAATTTCAGATCAAAACGAATTTATTGGTTTGAGTGTACTCATTGGAGATTTTGCATCCAGTGTGCTTGCTCTGACAGCTGATAGCTGTTATTCTAGTAATTTGAAGTGTTGGTTTATGCAAACCTGCACACAGTACCAACCTATCATTAATTTGAATGACAGTAGAAACCTCTTGGCATAAATTCAAAGGGATTCAGAGGAACAAATTCAAAGATCTCAAGAGTCAGTCATTTATTGATTCTGTTTAAGCATCTTGCTGACCAACCCAATACTTCTATTCTTTGAAAAGGCACAGAATTCACCTCCTTTACCAAAGCTAAAGGAAAATTGATAAGGGAAGTGACAAAATCATTAAAAAGCACTTTACTGACCATCATTTCTAAGCCAGGAATGATAGTGGATAGGTCTATAATTGAAATACACTCTCATCTCAAAGAGGATGGGAGGACTCTGGAGTGATACAGCCTGGGTGGTGGTGGCAGTTACCCAACAAATACAAAGTGAGAAGTGTTACTAATAAGCAGCAGGGTTGCCATGAAATCAGAGTGATTTGATCCACAGGGATCTTTGGAAACAATTAACTGATCATGGACAGTCTACTAAATTCTCACTCAATTTTTATGACAGTAACAGGAAAAAAAGAAAAATAGTTCCATGCGCAGCAAACAAAGGCCTATCTTGACACAATAGACAATTTTGATCTTTCATCCAATTCCCATACCTGAGTCATTTCAGGTACATAGACCACTGAATAAAAAGATAGTTAAGGACCCTTAAGGAAAGATCCAACAGGGACGCCTGGGTGGCTCAGTGGTTGAGCAACTGCCTTTAGCTCAGGGCGTGATCCTGGAGTCCTGGGATAGAGTCCCACATTGGGTCCTTGCATGGAGCCTGTTTCTCTCTCTGCCTATGTCTCTGCCTCTCTCTCTGTTTATCTCTCATGAATAAATAAATAAAATCTTAAAAAAAAAAGAAAGATCCAACAATAACACTGCAGGACCATACCATTAGCCTTTCGCCTGTCTTTCTCCAAAGAACTTGTGTGCAAATATCCAAACGTTTTGGGAACAATCAGACAATAGCCACAGTAATTCCTGGACACTCAGAATGCTTCTGTGCTGCACTAGGGTGTGGACTTTACAGGAATGTATCAATCAGTGTCCAGTCAGGAAAAGAAACCACCCTACATATTTCAAGCAGAGAGGAACTTAATGTGGGGATTTGGTCACAAATATACTAGAAATGTTTTAAAATGAGGGAGACAGATGACATTTTCCAGAGCCCAGTAAATTGCCACTGTTCTTGGGCTGAAGCCTACAACCCTACACTCACTACTGACAGTGCTGGAGGGTCCACTGTGGCCAAAGCAAAGGCACCTCCTGAAGCAAAAAGGTTTCCTTCTTCCCACCTTTAAAGATAATCAAGGGGATCCCTGGGTGGTGCAGTGGTTTGGCGCCTGCCTTGGGCCCAGGGCGCGATCCTGGAGACCCGGGATCGAATCCCACGTCGGGCTC